TCGATAGTGTCACCGAACAAGCTAAATTTGAAAATTGACGTGAGACAGCTAATGAGATCCATGGCCGTTCCAGAACCCAGATTGTTGGTAGACTTCTCGATCACGATGTCCATGGCCTCCGAGACCTTTACGAAAAATTTGAGGCCGAAGATCATGTTTCTCCTTGAGCGGTCAAGTACTGATGGAGAATAAAAGTTGGGAGGTGACAGCTTTCGATAGCTATCACGCACAAGGCTGTCCGTGAGGGAAGTGATTCCGGCAAGATTATCCATTACCTTCTTAGGACATCGCGTGAGATTAGTCGTAATTAATTCAGTAAAGCGGCTCAATTGAACCTGTAGGCCATCACTGCTTGCTTGAAGTACGTCAAGCGGCTCTAAGACTCCCGGATGGTTCGCAGGGATGTATCCGTTAATAACAGTATGGTTGTCTTCCTTACCCGCAAGGCTGCTAAATAATCGAAGGAAGCTTGGAGATATCAAGTCAAAGTCGCTGCCCTCCTTCTTTATGACTTGCAGTAGTGTTCGGCAGTCAACTAGGAGAAGGAATCCGGTTAGTCTAGCAATCTGCATAAACATCTGACTAACGATGTCTCGAGTGTGATTGGATTTCGAAGAGCCGTGCCTAAAGAGGGAACATCGTCGTTAGTCAAGTCATATTGGTGAAAGGCTTGGATTATGCATACCGATGGCCTATAGAACAAAAAAGCTCAGGAAGAGCCTGCCAAAACTGTCTATTTTCTTGGTATGCCTCTATGACCACAGGGTAGAATTCGATATGTGCGCATGATAGGTATGAATTTAGCCAATTATTCAGTTCATGTAGGGCATCGTCGACATGCGAGGATTCTAGTTTAAAGTTAGAGCGTTGACGGAAGTTGGGAAATCTCGACGCACGTTGTCGAAAATAATCTGCGAGACGAACAACCGTCTCGTGATATGACTCTCCATCAGTATGATATGGAAAATCAAGCATGACAGCACCAAATTTCGTCACTCTTTCGACTGGTAGAAGCGTTATGTTGGGTTCCATATCATAGAGCGAGAGGTCATCCTCGATTGCTGCTTCTGGACTATCAAGCTCGGACGTTGGTGACGATGCATCTTCGGCCGAAGGTACTTGTATCATATTCACCTCCGGTTCTTCGACGCTAACTTTTATACTGTCTTTGCGGAATTGCGCAGGTGTGGGAGATGGAGGGGAGGAAGGCGTATTCTCAAGGCTGTCAGCATTCCTAAGGTTGATAGTGACCTTACTAGAAACAGGTTCGGCAGCAGGCTCTGAACGAGCCGGCGTACTCGGGGGAAGTTGCTCTGGCGAGTCGACCCTCATGATGTTAGAGTCGGAAGGGGTTCTTTCGCCGCCTGAGGATGGAATGGTTTCGACTGACGAGCTCCTAGAACCAGAAAGGGAGGTCCTACGACGTTTTCGGGAAGAAGAATCACCGTCGTCAAAAGGGTTAGGTCGAGTTGAGCAGGGCTCAGAGGAGACGGCTCGTTCTCGCGGCTCGGATGATCTCGAATCCTGATCCATCTGTACCTTGCTGACAGGGTCGGGAATGGTGGAAATCGTGGAGCTCCAGACAAAGCTTGAGGCGTTCGCGCGAGAAGGCTCGGCGGCTGCTGCTGGACTCCAGAATTAGCATGTGGGTTGAGGAAAGATAGGCGGGGTAAAACACTGGGAAAATAAACACAATAGAATAGACGGCAAGAGAAGAAAGAGAAGAATAAAAGACAATCAAAGGTCTATAAGGGGTATCATCAAAGTGTCGAAAGAAGAGGAAAATGATTCTCGTAAACTGCAAGAACGATAATGAGAATTCCCTTGGTCAAAGAAGCGGCCGGGGAATAAAACAGATAGGCACCTGTAATAGTTTGTGACGATAGAAGATAGACGATAGACGTTGGTTGGAGAAGCTCCAGTTACTTTCCAGTTACTTTGTTAGTGATGGGGACTTTTCTTTGGGACTCTGGCGTCAGTGGTGCGAGTGTGAAGGAAGCTAATGGTGGGGGAGGGGCGTGTGGAGAACTTGGTTAGGAAGGCAGCCCTGGCAAAGTGGGAAACAAGAGCTCAGCTACCCGCTACAGTAGCAGCATTACCTGGGACTAGCTAATAAATTGCTAATCCTAGGCAGGTGGGAGGTAGGGGTTCTTTGTCCATCTTTCCCCGGGGGGCCAATCTCTATCGCGCGATCTCTCGAAGATTTCCAATATCGAAAATTTCCAATGACGAAGCTTGAAATGTGACGCAAGGTGGGTTAACCACTTACCTCACATGAGAAAAACGGCAACCAGCTCGAAGAGTGTTGTAATGCTTTGACCACCGTTGGAAGCTCTAATGCTCTAATGCTCTAATGCGTAGAGGTAGGCATACATGTAGATGACAGGTAGGTTAACTAGATGAATAGATGTATGCAACGAGAACGCGAACGCGAACGCGAATAAAAGCCCCCTCGGCGTACCTGATTGAATAATCAGGGTTCTTAATAGAGAGACAGAATGTGACACTGAACCAAGTGGGTAGATTAAATAATCGGGCAAGGCTGTGAGTCGAAGATTGCCTTGGGATGGTTTTGTCTCGAAAGAATACCTGGATATATCACAGTAGCTGTTGGATGATTAATGAAAAGTGCCAGAATTAGGCGACGCTAGTGCATTCTTGAAGTGGGGAAGATGTGCAGAAGATGTGCAAAAGGACGTGCGTACGCTGTGCTACAATAGGAGTATTGAGTATTGACGTAGTTATCAGTACTATACCATGTGAATTAGGTAAGTACAAAATGTTGAGATAGTGCTTTACACTATACAACTTCTAATCTCTCAACAATAGGTGACGAACGTCGGGGAGGCCTGCAACCAGCTATCGGTAGGGCGCCCAATATCCGGATATGATGCAAGATTGGAAGACGTATGCACAACGGAATACGATGCAATTATTTTCCAAGCTAATCGTAACAAATTGTACATACTACCAACATATATGTCGGTACATGTAGGGAAAGTCAACTTACTTTAGCGGGTCTATGTAGGCTGCAGGGCCAGGCTAGATACCGAGGTCCTGGTCTGTTGTGTTGCCAGGCTGCCAGGCTGCCAGGGCAAGCAATTAGGCGCCGTCCTCCACTTAAATACCATGTAGAGGTGGTTAAAGTTCTAGAAGCGCCTGCTTTTAGGCAAATGTTGATACATATGTGCACGCACGTAAGTGTATTAAGTGAACTTAGGTACCTAGATGTTTTCACCTTTTGAGATTGTTATTCTGACTTGTATCCTTCTCTCCACTGCTATAGATAATATTAAAATCAACATAAAGGATGTTTGAACATGGTCGCAAATATACATCTTTTGCCCATAGGTACATAGCCTATCTAGCTGAAGTACATACATGCAGACTAGGATGTACACAATGCATTTGGCCATCCCCAGCTTAAATGATTTGGAGTTGTCAGCTGTTCCTACACCACATAGTAGCGTAAAGTCTTCAGAGGCTTGTAATGTTGAAGGGCTCATATGCATTTCGATGGGATAGCATATTCTAATATTTAACAGACATCAAACTACCTAACACAAGGCACACAGTGAGTGTACATAATATACTGCAAGCAGGGCCAATGGATTTACTATCTTAGTTGGCCGAGTTAGCCGTATTACATGTAGTGTACCCCCTACACTATGCACATACAAAAGCGGAACAGGTGGGCTGTGAAGGACTTGGTTCCAACAGGTATTAAAACACATAAATATTGAAATATATACTATCCCACCTAGGTAAAAAACAGTGCCTGAGGATATCTGCATCCCCAAGTCCCAAGTCCCAAGTCCCAAGTCCCAAGTGTTAGAGATGGGATTCGATGCCCTATCAAGGCTAAAAAGCGCTCGAGTAGCCACGGAAGAGTACCTTAAAGAGAAATGGTAACTTTTCCACATTTCCCCTTCATCCCTTAAATGCCGCTTATTCAAAGGTCCTCGCTATTTCTAATATTCGAGTGTCTGACATATGGTTTCCTTAACAGGGAACACAGAAAATCGCGAAGTTCTTCGGAGATAGAGGAGGATGTAGCCAAAGCCGAAGAAGAACGTCGTCGGCGGGAAAAGAACGAATTTCTCAACCTAGTTTTGGCGAAGATTACTGGGGAGTCAGCTATCGAGATGCCGCTGTTACAGTGGGATCCGATTGCGTCTCGTAGGGCCGTTTTCTTAATCACCACGCTTATCGAGTTCGGCAGATTTGAATTGTCCAAAAATACGTACAAGTTGCTTGCTAAACATGTCGGCATGAGCCAACATAGTGTCAGCCACTGGGCATTATGCGTGATTGACCGCAGCTTCAACCCTTCTTACTGTTACGACTTAATGAGTGATCAGATGGCACTTAATGCTATTGGTAAAAGCTACTTTCGGGTAGCCGAGATTACCCCAGAATTCATCCAAACATGGAGCTCATGTTACTATATCGGGGAGACGACGAAATCTCATGAAGAGATACAAAGAATAGGTAAGTAGGCGCTAAGACGGAGACGCCAAATTCTTTTGCTAATATTGAGCTCTAGGAGCTAATCATATGTCGGTTCACCCACGCTACAACCTCTTAACAAGCAATTGTCAGGACATGGCAGAAAGCCTTGTAAGAGAGTTATGCGACGGCAGGATAATCAGTCAAGCCAAACTAAGCGAAGAGCTATCTTTGGTGTCTCCGAAGATAGCCCTTGACTTGATGGTAGCGCGGTTGAGGTCCAAGATAGAAGTTTTAGATGAGCATGAGGATAGTGATACTGTGAAAGCAGATATGGATACTATCAAAGGACTATGGCATAAAGTCCATCGATAATCATTATTGATTTTTTTATACCACAACGATTAGTAAGATATAGAAAATGCATCATACTAGTACTAAATGTATAGGTACATATCTGTAGAGTAAAAATAAACGTGCAATTTTCTACGACGACGGCTTACAGGTAAGATTTCGTCTATTTGATATTTTGAGAGCTTAGACTCGTGCACAGACCAACAAACCCATATTAGGTTCAATAGGTGCGACACGATTCCACTAAGAAACTTATTCCAGTTTCTAAAACAATACGGATATACAACAGCAGCGAGAAGTACAAAAATTGCAGCTTCTGAATTAAATTGAATTTCGCCTAACTACATAGCCACAGTACGGGGGTGAATTGCATACTTTTTGCGTTAATTCGGGCTATGCATGAAGATGGAAAGGAGAAAGAAAATCGTCTATCAGCTAGACACGCCCTATTCAGCTGTATCATGGTAGGAAACACAAGCCTTTTGCTTTTCCACTCCAACAAGTTTAACACACCGATGCTAACGATGCCAGGCCTAGCGTGACTATCAATGACCAAGAAACCATCTTAGAACTTCTATGCAAGTGAGTCAAGAGTCCCTCAGATCATTCTCTCAGTCTAAGAACCTAGAACCTAGAACCTAGAAGAATCATTTCCGTGTCCTCCATGCTGACATATTAGAGTAGCTTGCTTACACCTCTGGGTCAGTACCGGTCAGAGTATGTTGAGTTGTCGAAAGGCAAACGCGAAAAGAAACGGAAACGCAAAGTTTCAACCACACATTCTGAAAACGTTCCGTCTCCTCCTTCTCCGGAGTTAAAGTCGTATGTAGACGTCGGACTTACAACTGTCACGCGTCATCTACAGGAGTTAGCATCTAAAGCACAAGCCGTGGAGGCCAATTCGGACGACAAACTCCCTACTCAGGATGTTTCTCGCCGCTCCTATTCAGCCATCTTCGTAGCCCGATCTGGACAACCAAACGTTCTTAATGGACATCTCCCACAAATGGCGGCGATTGCTTCAAATTCACATCCTGAACAGATGCCTATTAGGCTAGTAGGATTGTCAAAGTCATGTGAGGATCGTCTATCTGAGTCGCTGGGTATACCCCGTGTTTCCTGCATTGGAATCCGCGAAGGTGCCCCTGATTCTAAGGCGTTGATTGAATTCACAGCCAAGCATGTTCCTACCATTAATATACAGTGGATGGAAGAGGCGAAGAAAGCGGAATACAAGGCAACCAATATTAACACGATTGAGACGTTCGTTGGTACTAAGAAGCAGCATAACCGTGGATTGCCTGGGTAATGATATTAGTTGATATATATATTATTCGGATATATATATCGAAACAAGAATCCTATCTTTTACGAGACGTTGGTCATGTTCAACAGCTAAATGTACCCGTCTAGAGAACGTCTTACTTTGGATATAGAGTCCCTTGCCTGGGTGAGATATGGAAATCAAAGTGACTATTCCCCGTATGCCATACCATATTTACAAGACCCTAATAATATAGATATCCATTTTTATCAGGTCATACCTTTATGCCAACCTAGGTAGCCTTTATCTAGTTGATTTCGTTTGCACTTGCGTGGGTGCCTGCATCTGCAAACACCAGTCTGAACCAGAGTATGTTGCTATATGTGTATCCTACTGATGCATTCAGAGCTAATCGCGTTTTAAATACCTAAAATAGTAGTGACAGCAGGGAGGGGAACTAGCAGATGCAAATTCACGATACTATTAAAACGTGAATTACCTCTTAAAGGGGAGGAGTAGGTGGAATCCTAAGGTGCCTGCCTGGGGATTTAAATAGTTGAATGAATCGAAGGAAGGAACCATATGGCTGTCTTTCCTATTGTTTCCGAGGCGACAGCATACATGTACAGGTTCGATTACCTATAGGTACCTAGAGGTGCATAAGGCAAGAACTACCTAAGTTTACCTTTACATTATCCTCTCTGCCTGCACATATTCAACCCCATATTTTTACGAGTCCTTAAACACCTTATGAGGTTTTGTTTTGACTTTCCCATCCTTATCTTCTCCTACCAACCTTAGCAACTCTCTGTTGTTGAGCAAGTCAATCCCCCGAAACCCACCATTCTGTATTTTACACCTTGCACGCTTCTACTTCTAACAACCCTCTGAGGCTGTCATAACCTAGTTCTTACAATTTGACGGAGTTACTTGGACTTTCTGTTTGTGATTACTGAAGAGCCCAAAGAAAAGACGAATTCTACCGTCAAGATGTTTGGACATGGGAATATAGAGGACGCGAAAAAGCTACAAGCTTCTTTCACACGCGCAAAATCACCTCGGCGCAATAAACGAAATCAGGAGAGGAGAAACGGAATCAACGCACGACGGGGAGGTGCCTTAGTGAACCATCGCCAGCAACATAACCAATGTGGTCAAGGTAGTGGTGTACAGGGACGTGCTCAACTAGGCTCAAGTTTAATAATTCGCCCTCGAGGAAATACGATGCAGCATCACCCTGTACGATCAACTCAGGGAGGTATTACCCCAACATCTCGCCCTCATGACATGCCTATGTTCCGCGGCACTGGAGAACCACGAGCTGTTCTCACTGAGGGTATAACCCCTCTACAAGGACACTCTGTCTCACAAAACGTAGCCCTTACGATTCCCGCTCCGCAAGAGACATGGCAGAAACGCATTATGTCCTCTAGTGAAGAGGGAAATATTGCACCGAAGCGTCTCAAGGGCGAACTTACGGGGGGTTCGACTCAAATACAAATGCAAACAGCCAACAGCCCTCCTCCGCCGCAGTTTTGTGGACAAATCTTTGGCCCACAGAGTGTAGGCGGCTATTTCCAGACTGCTCAGGCCTCGACTCCATCTCCGGATCAGCTACAATTTACTTATCCACTTCAACCCAATACTACTTTGGTAGACCCTGCTTTGGCATACAGCTCCGATGCTTCTACCTTAGTCTCTCAACGAGCCCCTTGGCACCATCACTCGGATTCTGTACAATCCGAGACATCGCTCCTTGATGAAGGGGGTGAGCCGGTTAGCCAAGACGTGATGCAATTCACTACTAGGAACGAGGCTCGCCAAGATGATGATGTGGCCATGGGTGGTGTGGAGACAAGAAGCAATGTCAAAGGAGGCCTTAAAGCTTCACGGTGGAATCCTGACAACCCTAATCATTATCCCGAGAAAGATTTTCCTGAGCACTTCTGGGGAGAGCCCATGCGTGTTGATCCGCCAACTCAGGAAAGACGTGGTCCTTCCGTTCCAACCGGCCAAACTGTGATCAGTGGTATCTCCAAAGGACCTGGTCTCGCAGACTCTCGCTGGGCTTCGTAAAGTCAACTAAGAGAGTCGCTATACCGAACCCCAAGTCTCTATTGTGGTTGTACCTATGTTATTACCAGCCTCATTTTTTCTAGGACTGCCAGCTAGAATACCTCAGGTATTCAGTACTTATGTTCATCGTTACGCATATGTGAAAGCTCCTTTTCGGATTCATTCAGAACATCGACCATACGGGCTTAATGATAACGACGATATGTAATTTTATGTCACTAAATTTGCGACCAACCCCCTCGACTACCTACTTACCTAGGTATTAATGTTTTATCAACCGCTACTGCGAGATCCCAGGCAATGGCGAACGAACGACTACATGCCAACCTCGGCAACCCCCCGGCACGTCACTTAAGACTGGAACCCCTTTCTGTAAAGGCGGGGATACGATCATGGAATATCGGTTTCTTTTCTATTGACTTGACTCAGCATATCTTCTGCCAAGCTAGTAGCAGACAGCTCTCTAGTCGAAGCTAGTCGTGTTGTTTCCTTATTTTCACGTTGTTACGCAGATCATGAGCTCGTGTAGTTTAGTAATTCGTTTGTGTTGTTCGTATTTATGCGTGGCATTAATTAGGGGCTTAGGAGCACACAGTAACTTAGACATGTATTATATCACGCCTTAGCTCGGCGGCCTTGTACACAGAAGCATAATAATAATACGTTATGAGCCACGATGCCATTTGTTTCCAACAGTGAAATTGCAAGAATTGGCACCTTAAGCTAATTGGTAGAACAGCATGGCGAGGGTAATAATGAGGACTATGAGCAACACCAGCCTCCTAACATAAGTGTTCGAAATAAACCTCAAGCTTCATCGACGAAATCAGTCGATCTTATCATTCATAATTCTCATACTCCTAAGCGGCAGAATTTACACTCACTACGTAAAACGAGATTCATAGATAGCATTAGAGGCTCAACTTCGTACAAGGTATATATTAACCCTCGTCCTCTACCAAACCACCATATCCCAACCTCCCAACCCCTCCCCTTTCTCTAACCCCCCTTCCAAACCACTCTACTTCTCCGCCAAACTCAGACTCTTCTCCACAATCCCCACCCCCCGTCTAACAGCAGGACAATAATGACGGCGCAGTATCTCTCCCTCCCAGACCGTCGCCGCAAACGGATTACTCGCCTCGGCACTATCAGCCAGCGGGTTGAACGCGCCGTCGCCCTTGCGCTCCTCCGTGTTCCACAGCGCAGCTATGCGGCGGCCGTGCGTCCCCGCCACGTCGGCGAGGAGCGCGAGTAACGCCTGCGCCGACTTCTCCGGCATGTGCAGGGCGGCTGTCGTGAGCTGCTTTGCGAAAGCTGCTAGGCGGACGGGGGGGACCGAGCGCAGGTTCCAGTGCGGCAGGAGGACGGCTGTTAGACAGCGGATTAGTAGGACGGTGGTCGTCTGCAGGTTGACTTTGTTGCCGGAATTCCGGCTCTTGTCGCGAGCCTGGGACGGCTTGTCTGGGTCGGGGAGATGCAGGGAGCGCGCGCCTAGCTCGAGGTCGGGGTGTAGGCTTAGGGGGTAGAGGGTCTGGTAGAGGTGTGTTGTGAAGAAGGAGAGGTCGAGATGTAGGTCCGCGCGAGCATTATGTGCGTCCTGACCCGCGAGTAGCGCGAACGCGGTCGTAGTGCAAAGGAGGGCTTCGCGGGAGGGGTTGCGGATGGGCGTGTCGTCGTCTTCTACCTCCTCGCCCTCTTTGTCCTCCGTGTCGTCTTCCTCAGACGCGCTGCTATGCCGGATAAGGTCCTTCAGCGCCTCGAGGAGGTCACCGAAGAAGTTTTGGTTGATTAAGTGTGCGTATTTAGATAGACCTTCCAGGACGGCGCCCATGAGATGTGGCACTCGCATCTTAAGGATCCGGAAGTATGTACCAAATACGAGTTTCAAGGTTTCTCCCTCCATGCGATCCCGTTCTTCGTGCTGAACGAGTGCGTCGGCTGTGGCCATATCCTTTTGCAGTGCTTTCTGTTCCTTTACGCGTTTTCGCTCTCGCTTGGTCCGGAACGCCCACTTCGACTTGGGCTTTTTGCTAGTATGGTCGTCATCCATACGTTCCACGGAGTCCTTCGATCCCTTTCCGGAAAAGTCCGATAGTAGATGGAGGTGAAGAAATAGGTTGACAACGCTCTCATTCACTTGGTACTCCCTGGCTTTCATCATCTTGGAAAGAAGCGAGACTGCTTCCATGGATGGGCGGCCCTCTTCATCTTCTTCGAATAAGGTTTCAAGTGCTTGAAGACACTTATTGAAGTCGTCGTCGACACGCCTCGTACTCAGCTTCCCGACTAGTATCTTGACTAGGTCGGATCTGAAGTTGAAATGGGGCACGGCGGTTAACAGGCTGCAAGCACAAGAGATAGCAACACTCGCGACGCCTTGTGCATGACTGGTCTTCGCATGTTTGGTGAGTTCCTTTACATATGCCTGATAGCCCGAGATGAGACATGTCTCGTAGGTTCGCAACTTCCTCACGTCCTTTGATAGCTTCTCCTCTGGCCCATCCTCAGCTACAGGTCGTATTCGATAGCCGGGAATAACATCCTTATATACTGTGAGCTGTGTGGCTAAGGCGAGCTTCTGTATCGTTGGAATTCTGGACTGTCCAATCTTAGCTAGGGCCTTGAAGGCGCCAGTATTTTCATCAGGAGTCTCGTTGAGAATCAAAGCTATCTTAGCCAGCTCTTCTTTAGCTTCTAAGATCTGTTGACGCTCGGGTATTTTAGGCTCTTCGGGGGCCTTTCTCTCCCGAGCCTCTTCATCCTCAGACACATCCTCGGCACCATCTAACCAGTCCTCGTCGCTTTCAATGGCTTGGAAGTTACTTTCTGGCGCTGACATATGCTGCACGCGCCCACCTGGAAGTTTTAGAGGAAGTCGAGTATTCTCTTTCTCCTTTTTCTTCCCTTTCCTCGCTTTAGTTTCATAGTCTTGCTCTAGGTCCCAATTTGATGCATTTGTTAAGAATGCTTTCTGGATCTTTGCACCAGACTTCCGAGACGAGCGCTCATCATCTCCGGGTGGAGTAAGCTTCCTTTTCTTTACAGGTCTGGATGCCATTGTGAAATGTTGGAAAAATGATAAAATGAGATGTTCGCAACTTGTGAGATGCGATGCAGAAACTCAAAAATTCAAAGATGAGCAGCGGACCCCTGTCTATCAGACCCACTATATACGCAGGTACACCAATAGGAATAGTTCCGCGGTACCTATACTCTTTCACCGCCAAAATTTCCAAGTGGCAGAATTTTTTCCTATGTCTACAGTTCTAAAGTAGGCCCCGCGCTCTCTTGTGTATAGCATTATCCAATTTACTTGGCGCATACATAAAATACCGTCAAGATGCGACAGCTTACAGAACAAGAAACGAAAACGCTTTTCGAGAAGCTGGCCAATTATACAGGAAATTCGCTAAAGAACCTAATTGCGCCGCTCGACGACTCGCCCGACGCCGATCGCTATGTCTTCCGTCTGAATCGCGACAGAGTATACTATGTCCTACTCTCCGTCGCCAACTTAGCTACATCGATATCAAGGGATCATCTTGGGTCACTGGGTATCTGCTTAGGTATGCCAACAATGTTTACTTATAAACTTACCTCTTTCTCCTTAAAAATCTCATATCCATACAGCACAAACCTGGTCAAGTATAGCTCGCTAACAAGAAATCTTCACGAACAGGCAAGTTCAGCAAGACCGGAAAATTCAGGTTACACATAACAGCGCTACCTATCCTAGCCGAGCATGCGCGGTACAAGCTGTGGATCAAGCCCAATGGCGAAATGCCCTTCCTTTACGGCGGCAATGTCGTCAAGGCCCACGTCGGCCGCTGGTCTGACGACTGCCCTAGCCACCAAGGTATCGTCGTCTACAATATGTCCGACACGCCCCTCGGCTTCGGCGTCACCGCCCGCAGCACCGCAGAGGCCCGACGCCTCGACCCAACCGGCATCGTATGTTTCAGGCAGGCCGACTGTGGCGAGTATCTCCGAGACGAAGACACCCTTTTCGCGAGCTGAGCGGGCACAAATTGGGTGGGGTGACGGATGTATGTATATACGAGGAGAGAAGAAGAAAAAAGGACGATCGGTGGCTTTTGACACTAGAAGATGGCCTGGAGTTCGGAATTGGCTTGAGCTTTGTGCATTCAGGGGCGTTTGCGGCTATCTACAAGTAACTCTCCATGTGACTTTGGTCTTTTCTACGAGACAATATAAAAACATTCTTGCGGTGGCCGATGATCTACCCCTTATTAAACTTCTTTTTTGTGTCCGTATAACTCCTTACCTCCTTACGCCGTCAGTCTGCGAAGTAGCCAGCTTCTATAAGCTGATGTCGTTTTCGTAAGCGGCCACCCCTCCGTTCTCGTTCAATTTGTCAAACACAGGTGTTACTGGCCGGCTCTCCCTACGGAGCAAACTGATGCTATCTCGATCGGCTATGTACTCGCTGTCAGCGTAGCCTAGCAGGGTCTCGATCTGCGTGCTTCGGTGCCCCTTAATTCGGGCGATCTCGGGCGCCGCATAGTTAACCAGTGCTCTCCCAATCTCGACCCCCGGGCCCTCCCAGATTTTGCCGTCTGGTCCTGGTTCTGATCGCCTCTCTACGACCACGATACGAACGGCTTCATGCTGCGCAAAGTTTCCCTCTACGTCTAAAACGCCTACTGGGAGAAGGCCGGCTTTGTCCGAAAGGGCGCGGTGAGCGCCAACATCGATGTAAATCGTGCCATGCGGCGCCAGGCCGTGAAGGATCCAGAAGTAGCGGTCTCTGATAGGTTGAGAGAGCGGGAGAAATCGCGTGTGCAACGGTGGTTTCTCTAGTTCGTTAAGGGATAGAGATACTGTGGACCTTGATAGAGGATCTTCCGCATCGTCATCTACCACAGGTGTATGTACTGACGATGTGCATTTTTTGCTGGCTTGCAAATAGCGAACAATTTTGACAATGTTTCCCGGTGAGGATGATCGAGTGATGACTGTAGTGACGCCAGCAGACGTTGCGAGCCTAGCAGCAACGATCTTTGTACTCATACCACCAGTTCCCAAAGAAGATCCAGCACTAGATACTAATATCGCATTAATAATAAGATTCACCAATGTTCTACATGATTATAGCCTTACCATCCGCGCGAATTTCCCCAATATCTTCCACCACCTCTATGGGTTTAGCATCGGGATTTGTCCGTGGATTCTTGTCGTACAAGCAGTCGACATCCGTCATCAGAAAAAGGAAGTTGGCGTGCACCATAGCGGCAGTGATGGCTGATAGCGTGTCATTGTCACCGAACTTAATCTCAGCAACTGCTAAAGTGTCGTTTTCATTTACAATGGGTATAACACCCATCTCCAAAAGTTCTAGGACAGTATTCTGGGCATTCAGATACTTCGTCCGCTAAAAAGCACTATTAGTTGGAACACTTTCCTTGACCGAAAGTCTTTTTTACTTACATCAGCAATATCATTTCTCGTCAAGAGAATCTGAGAGATAGGCTGACGTAGATGTCCAAATAGACTATCCCATAGACTCATCAAGCGACATTGGCCAATAGCTGCGAGCGCTCGTAGCTTGGATAGGTGCTTTGGTCTCTTGTCGATGTCCATCCGCTGAAGACCGACACCAATAGCACCAGAAGATACGATGATGACCTTATGGCCATCTTTCCGGAGCTTCACAGCTGTCTCGACAATAAGAGTCAAAATCGACAACAGAGGCTCATGTGTCTTCTCATCAACGATGGAACTAGTTCCTAAGTGTAAGTTAGTTCAATATCGACCCATTCGTTTATGTATTGTTACATAAGGTTATTGCTCAAGGAATAAAAACTCAAACCCAAGTCTTTGACGACTTTGACTTACCAAGTTTGATAACCACTATAAGTGGCTTAGGGCCCTTCATATCTAATAACACATTAGTGATGGCAGCTTCGAAACATGAGATTTAGAAAAATAAGAGATCGTTACACAGGCAATATCCTTAACAAATAAAAATCATGACTTACAAGGCGTTGTTGGCCCCCCTGGATCTGCCATGGCTGTCAAGGGCGTGTTGGCGACTTACAGGGAATAATTCTTGTGGAGAATTATACGATTTACGGGTTTTGCTATGTAATAACTGTAATCATTGGATGGCAACCACAAGCTGAGAGGTCCTTTCCGCTTACACTTCGGTGGAACCCCCAGCCGAGATCGGAAATTCTAAAAAGGCTGATCCGGAACCCGACCTTGCCCCTACCTATTAGCCCATACCTAAAGGTACCTATTCCGTTATTCCGCGCTAGATCTAACGGACCGCAAAAAGATCGCGAGTTAGCTGCTTACCCGGACCTGGAAATTGACAGCCGTCATTCCAATAAAGTTCACACACCTTGTCTGAACTTTCCAACGGCAACAGCAAATCCATTCCATTCCATAATGTCGTCACAACCGCAACCGTCAGAACAACCCTCGAAACCCCCTCCATCCCCCTCCCCCTCCTCTTCCTCCTCCTCAACAACAACATCCCCACCCGCATCCTCAGGCGCGCTCCCGCGTAACCTCGAAAACGACCCAGCACGAACCGGCTTCGACCCACAGACAGCATGGTGGGTCAACTACTTCAAGATCCTAACGGGCGGCGTGACCGACGAAGGCGTATTCCACTACCGCGAGTGGCGGTACCGCGTGCACGAGGAGCGTGACTGCAAGCGCTGCGAAGAGTATCGGGACTGGGCGTTTGCGCACTCGCCGACCGTGCGCTTCATGCGCGAGAAGGTCGAGGCTCTGAACGGACGTCTCGACAAGGACAACGTCGTGTGCCGCCGGTGTCCCGCCCGCCTCACAGACGACGGCCAGGTCCATCGGTCTTCTGGCGGGTTCAGTCCCGACCATGGCATTTTGATATGTGCCAATGAGGTCCGGAATCGTGGGCACTTAGAGGATACCCTGGCTCATGAGATGGTGCATGCTTGGGACCATTTAAGGTGGAAGGTCGACTGGATGGGCGATAAGGACTTGAAGCATTCGGCTTGTACAGAGGTATTGCTACTCTTTTCCTTTCCGTGTTTAGTATGAAAACACGCGAGTTTTACTGACATTGTACTCTAGATCCGAGCAGCAATGCTGAGCGGCGAGTGTAGATGGGCTAGGGAGGCCTGGACGAGAGGGAACTGGAAGTTAACGCAGCAGTTCCAAGACTGTGTGAGGAAACGGGCAGCGCAATCCGTCTTAGCTCGGCCGCGATGTAAAGACGATGTACAAGCAGTCAAAGTGGTGAACCAAGTGTGGGACTCATGTTTCTCGGACACCCGGCCCTTCGACGAGGTCTACAGATGAGCGAAACCGATCGAAAACTCGCTTTCGGGCAAACGCTGTATCTATCACCTGTACTATAATTACCCTCCCGTCGGGAGTCTAGCCAGGCGGCGAACAAGGTCTGCGTTTGTAACTTCAAATGATGGTACGCAATGGTATCCGACTCCCCTAAGCATGCAAATTCCCCAACCCGATTAATCCATCGCCCGAACGCCTCGCCTTGCCTTGCCTAAATATACATGTGAATTCATTCCATTAATTCGTCATTTTTCGCTAGAACGATCCTTCTTTTCCCTGTTTGAGGCGCGCTCTCCCCTAATGCAGTGCTTGACAATCCATGGGTGCGTCTGGACCTGTTCCAACGGTATCCTTTTTTGAGGGTCAAGAACCAGTAGCTATATTCCTGTGTTAGTGGAAATGTTCGTCTGTGTAGGGAGTGTGGTGTTTAGGTAGCTCTCACCTTCTTGATAAGATCCCTTGCCTCAGGGCTAACAAACGAGGGGATAGTCATGTCTGCCTTCGCAATTCTCCTTTGCGTCATGACTGGTGTGTCCTCGAACGGTGCTTCTCCCACCAGAAACTCGTACGTCAACACACCTAAACTCCATAGGTCCACCTTCTCGTCGTAGTAGTTATCCGAGCTGCCAGGCTTGATCATCTCGGGCGGGAGGTAATCAAGAGTACCACACATGGTCTGGCGACGACTATTCGGCGCATGTACGCTCCAGCCAAAATCGGAGATCTTGATCTCGCCGTGAATCCCCATAAGAATGTTCTCCGGCTTGATGTCCCGATGGATGACATGCTTGCGGTGCAAGTATCTCAGGGCGCTCGCCATCTGGGCGATGTACTGCGAAGCCTTCCACTCGGGGAATCGCTGCTCCCTCCTAAGGTGCTTATACAGCTCGCCCTTACCCGCAAACTCCAGAATCAAGAAGACCCGCTTGCTGTCGTGAAAGTGACCAAACAGCTGTAAGATGTTGGGATGCCTCAAATTGCTCTGGATTTCGATTTCTCGCCGCACCTGCTTCTCAACCCGACCCTGCTCTAGCTCTTTCTTGTGAAGGACCTTCAAGGCACAGATATAGCCGCTCGTCCGCTCTCGCGCTAGATAAACTCTTCCAAATTTACCTTTCCCTAATGGCTTCCCAATCTCAAACATGCCAAGATGGAACTCTTTTGGTAGAAATGGCTGATCAAGGAGAGACGCCGACTTCCGCTCAACCAGTTCTTTTTCATCGGACGATGCCTTTGATACCGTACTGACAGTGGGAAGTGGTTTTCTAGTAGGTGAGGGAGGTGGTGCACCTTTATTACGTTGTGCAGCCTGTGATGGGAGAGTGACTGTAGTAACGGTATTTGCACTCTGCGCTTGAAGAGCGACCTTAAAGAGGTTTGGACGGCTCGAACTATGTGCTGTTTGTGTTGTACTCCCAATAGTCTATACACATAATCGCAATCGCAAGTCAGTAGTCTGTTTTTCACACCTAGGGAATATAGCGGTGATGGGACAAACCTTGGGTTTTTGATAATCATTCTCATCATTGACGGACAAACGCCCAAATTGGGACTCCAGTGTTCGAGCTGCCATTGTTTCCAGCTTAGTAGGCCGCTCTATCATTGAATCGAGAAGTTTAGGGAGATGTGAGGCTATTCGCTTGTCAATCGGATGACTTTGAAAAAATAAGAATCGGGGTTGATAGTTGGAGAAATAAATGCTGGCATTGTTATTAGCAAATATCCCCTTGTTGACGCAGCAACCATTGATAATCCATAAGATCCATAATTAATCCCCCAAAAATTACTGTGGTAAATCCCTGTCTGGCAGGTACGTCCTAGACAAGTTAGGTGCTTATTAATCTCAGCAACAGCTATCCGTATGCAAAGTGTAACTCATTTATTTTGGGAAAGTTCGGAATCAATCAATTGATTGAATGAGTCTTTATAATAGCTCTACGTACCTAGGTACTTTATACAACTTCTGTTTAGCAATCCTGAGTCAGGTACGAGATAACTACAGCTGTGAACAAGCCAAACAAGGACCCTGTAAGGTCCGCTATCCAAAAAAAGTAGCCAATTAGATCTGACCAATACAAATTTACTGCCAGTGGAACCCCACCAATTTAAGAGGTTAAGCCAAGTGAAGCCGGTGAGTTGTAACACTTTACACACCAATTCTCTCAATGTGAATGAAGCAAGACAGATATAAATCAAGTCATAAAAATGATACCATTTTGAAAGGAAAGTCGAACATAGCAAGTGGTGTCGATATAACTATGGTAAAGAAAACAGCTAAGAACAAGATGCTAATACCCTCACTGTTTCATTCTAGACGTCAAGATACCTTTCATCCGACCTTGGTGTCGCTACGAAGTCTGGTCTCTCTGGCCAAAGAAAGTTTGTATCGCAGCCTCTATTTCTAGGTGAGACCTTACTCGGTCCCCTTTAAGGGAGCAGGACCGATCCATCAATATTAGTGTCTTCGCATTCCTTACCGTGTGTGCAGATATCCTTCAGCTGCTGAAGTTTTATGAAGGTTCTGAGGCTGGGCCAGGTTAATGAGGAGGGTACGCCACAACCTTTCAGAATATCTCATATAGCATCCCCCAGGACAATTCCTCCTCCTCCTTATGACGCTATAGTTTAAGCCTGGTGGTACCGAATAGAACAATACGATTCCAACATATTTGGCATGGTAAAATAATATTCGAGACAACCTAAAACCCTTCAAACGGGCTTCTAATAAAATAAACGGGCATACTAACCACCGCAGACTGCGCAGTTATTATTGTCCCCATTCATGAAGAAAAGTAATTAATAAAAACATATAGATTACTGAGGTATCCAGATATTATAGAAGTAAAAAAAACCTCTAGGAATGATCAAGACCAATGTTCGTTGGCGATATATTCAAATAGTCAAGCCACATCTATATACGCAGATACGTCATAAGTGCTTAAAGATAAGGACACAAGCCACAATCAATTGCCCACCACTGCGCCAAGTCCTTTAGCACAGTTACTTCAATAGTTGTACCGTGCAAAATAATCAATGAAGCTTCAACTTTTTCGAGAAGCTCCAATCCCACCAAGATAATCCGAGACTCAACTAGCCTCACCACCGGCCACAACCACGCCCATATCAAAGACTTAGGCTACATAATCAAATAACAGCCATCATGGACTCCTCCGAATCTATCAAGGCCGAGGTCATCAAGCAAGTCAAGACCCAATACGCCCTAGAAAACGCAAGACTACTAATCGAGGTACGTATTACCTAGGTTAGAGATAAACGCCTATCCACACCATGCCAATCCCTAAAACCCGTCTGAGATGCAAGTGAACTAACCCGATATGCTACCGTGCAGAAGATTAACGAGCACTGCTTCGAGAGGTGCGTGCCCAAGCCGGGCCCCTCGTTTTCGAGCGGCGAGTCGACCTGCTTCACCCAGTGCATGGAGAAGTACATGTCGGCATGGAACTCAGTAAGCTCGACATACATCGACCGATTACGACGGGAGCAGTGAGCTAGACGTCCGGGTTTGGAGGCTGCGTCGCACATGTCAACGCGCCCCTACTCGATGTACATTAGAATCCGCCATGTTGCGAGCCGCAGCCGGCAATGGGAAGAAATGGAGGGGCATTCTCACGGTGGGATCGGGACAGCGGAAGGATAGAATGTACAATATTATCAAGGCCGCTATATCATGACGGAGGATATCCCATCTTGAATAGAAGATAGTGTGGACACGGACACTCTGCTCATGACGCTTCTGCGGAAGCTTTCTTCTTGGCTTCTTCGGCCTCTCTCTTACGTGCCAGATATCTTTCGCGCGCGCTCGAGACGTCGGTCTCGGTCTTGCGGCTCTTGGACGCGCGTTCGACCTTTTGCCTCTCCTCTTCCTCCTCGGCTAGAGATCTCTTAAGAGACTGTTCCAATTGCGCCTCGAGCATGCGAGATTGCCTTTCGCGCATCGCCTGCTTGCCGCCGGAACCGACAAAGTTGCGAGACTGGTCCCTGTCGTCCCTGCGATCTGGGCCCTTGCCGGTCTCTTTTCGAGGGTCTTGTCGTTTTGGTGCGCCCAGGTTGAGACCTCCCTTTAGCAGCTCGCGTTTATCCACTACTTGGCCATCTTCGTTGATAGCAATTTTACCGCCTTTCTCGTTGATTTCTCTTGCCACATCTGCGTCCGTCTTGACTTTCTCCTCTGGCACGTCTTCGTCCTCTTTCGGCCCGGTCTTCGCGCGCTCTTCCGCCGCCTTGATAACTTCAGCGTGTCGTTTATCGCCCCTTTCCAGTAGATCCTTGTAGAATGCAGTCATGCCACCGCCTTTATTTTTCTTAGCTTCCTCCTCCTCGCGCCTGCGCTCCTCTTCTTCAATGCGCCTGTTCTCCTCTTGTTGTTTCTTGTATGCTTCCGTGACAAACTTCTCCTTGTCCGCGTACTCCTCGCCTTCTTCCGCCCGTTCTCGCGCGATCTTCTTCTCTTCGGCAATTAGGGCGTCGCGTTTCCGTACGGCGGCAGACGCCATCAAGTTCTTCATATACTTGGGCTTGCGCTCGATATCTTCTTGTGTAGCCTTCTTCTCCGGCTTTAGGGAATCGTAGACCGCATCATAGTCGTATATCGATGGATCCAACTCCTCGGCGGCTTGTTGGTGTTTACGCGACTCTAAGGAGCTCGACAGATCTCCAAACATCGAAATCTGGGGCTTCTTGCTCTTGCCGTTCAAAGATTTGGTAGATAGACCATTTTTCAGCTTTGGAGGGGGGTTCTTATTTGATTGATGGCCAGGCGATACTGTTGTAAAATCATCTAGCTCTGATATCTCGGTAGCTTGAGGACCATCGGCTGAACCGTTCGCATCGTCGTCTGATCCATCATCATCGCCAAACATTGGTTTCCTTTTCGAGGGAGCAGGTTTCGAAGCGCCCGGCTTCTTGGCGAGGTTTAAGCCAAATGATAGCCCTGGCTTACTCATATTTGCAGTGTCCGACCTTCGTGTATGAAAGGTTGTTCCAGTCGGTGGTGAAGCTGCCTTTTAGAAAGGTGGCGCGGAGGGTCCACTGTATTACCGGCTATGTACATATGTACAAAGTAGACGCTAAAGGATAGCAATTCCGATTAGATAAGATTAAGCTTAAATATTATCGGTACTAGTAAAGGTAACTTCCCTATCTGCAACCAGGTTCAACAGCCTAGTGTATTAAGGTTAGAAGAGGAGGAGAGAGAAGCTACGATCTTGAAATATACAAAAGCGAAATCTTATACATGGAATAATCAAGTCCCTGCCGTTTAAATAATAAAGAGTAGCCCATAATAATACATCTTTAGTATACTTCAGTATGTCGTACAATATCTCAAATAAGCCCCCTCCCTTAATAGCAGTATCGACCCCGCCAATCATATAGACATAAACCGAGGCTTCCTAGAAAGTTGCATGTATCTTGTTGTATTTTCAAACGAAGCTTCCTTTTATTCCTTGTAGTTCGTATTTTGCTGTATATTTCACCTACATTTTGGCACTTGGGTATCTATACACATATCTACCTACGCTGGCATACAAAGCTATGGCATTATCAGAGACATACCAGACCATCCAAAGCTGGATCACTCGACAGCTGGAGTACGAGGCTACACACGGCTCTCCCGCGCCGTTGACAGACACCCAACGGAAGCTACTTGAGAAGCTTCAAGTTGCGTTACCTCCTACTACACCACCTCAACCCGAACCGGAGCTTGGCGATGCTAATTGGGTCGGTCTCCTATTAGGTATATTTAATTTTCATAGCTCAGCCCCGTCAAGTCACTTATGATACTAATATTATTATAGAATACAGAGCTGCCCGTCAACGAGTATCCACTAAATTTCCCGGAGGTGACTTTGTCGAGAAACCGGGCCCAACTGTATATGGGGTTCAGAAGTGGCATTGTGAAGTGCGCATCGATGAGCATTCGGAGCCGTTTCCCGGATCTGATGGTGGCTTGTTCCCAGACGGAACGCTGCCGTCTTTCGCACGCAAGAAAGACGCCAAAAAGTATGCAGCAAAATGTGCTGTTGAGTGGCTCGGCGTAAATGGATATATGTCTCGACTTGACGTCAACGGCGTAAAATCCCCTCCAGTCCAAAAACCAGCTACACCACAACCTTCGCCAGCTAGGAAGAAGCAGAAAGTTGTGCCATCTTCACCTGAGAACCACGAGGTTTCTATTCCTAGCCCTCAGCCAAACAAAGATCAGGAGAGCTTTTTACCTAAGGGAATTGCCTCCACTTTCAACGGTGACGAGGTCTCGGCTGTTTTCGAAGCCGAGCGGCTTTGCACCCGACTCGGGTACCCTGGCTTTCCTCAGTATAAAACCACAGAGGGCAAGATGGCAGGTTTCTATAGCGGTCTTCCAGAGCTAGGGACTCTAGCTTCGAAATTACCCCCAGGCATCGGCCACGTAAAGGATATCTACGGCAAAAAAGCAGTTAGGGAGAAGATCGCGGAAGAGTTGCTTGAGCCTCTACGCGGGCTAGCTGCAAAATCTGGGAAGGCAGATGGGCGATCGAAAACAGGTTCGTTGCCAGTTAGAGAGACAGAACCGCAGGTTCCGGCCTAGTTAGGTGCGAATCTGGCGAGCTTGGTTGCTGATGTAGCTGCATAGCGTGTCCGGCGTCAGGACTAGAGTGTTGAAGAACATACATCTCATAGAGGAATCACGCAGGTAACCATAAATCAATTCAGCTTCTTCCAGTGACATATCAGAGCAGAGCTATGGGTTGTGTGTTACAGCCCTTAAATCAAGACGATTCGGCATAATTGGCTAAGTTAGTTCAGACTCTACTTTGGTAACAAACAAAAGAGGCACTACCCCGTCATGAGCCTCTGCGATGCCAAAACTTCTGACTTGCACAACCTTACGTATATGTGAATACATTGACCCTTTTAACCTAGTTCGTCACTTGTTTAGTGATGTGGGTGAGTGGTATCTATGAACCATTATCTAACCAAGTACAAGAGAACTTATATATTTAATCCCCCTTTCCAAACTCGAGCGAGGCTCTCATCACACCATCAATCTTCTACCTCTATCCTCGCATCTCCATTGCCACCGTCGCAGGCGTCATTAAAGCCGGATCATCCGTATCCACAACCCCCCTAGGATCACGATACCTACCTTTCTAGAGACGTAACCCGACAGACAATACGATGAAGGTCCCCAAATGCCTCACCCTCGGTGTTTTCTCTTGCTTGCAGGGCCTGTCCCTCGCCAGCGTTCAGCCGCAAATGTTCGATAACTCGATCTGCCCATGGTACTACATCCGCCAGAACTATCATGATAGTACCGAAGTTTACACCATGGAGCTCATCGCTACCTGTGGTGTCACCGTAAATTCCGCATTGGAGTATCATACGAGCCTTCTGGATTTGGATAGGTAAGCTCCTACTGTATAAATCTATCATGGCTTGGAGAGACTTTGCTAACGGAGGTCTTTTCCCTCTTCGCTTGTACAGGTGCTTCGTCAACAAGGACGGAAATATCAAGTTGGCCACCGCGGATATGGCACCTCTAGGGGGTTTCTCGAAGACATGCTGGAGCTGCGGTCTCATGAATATTGGACCTCACAATATTACCCCTGATACATCGAAGCCTATTATAGCTTGTCAGTGCAAGCCGGAACAACCCAGCACTGATCGCTCGCGTGATGCGTCCTTTGAGTTCGGTGAGTTAGTAGTCCACATTACCTCTTCCCTCGTGCTAAAGCAGTCGAATATGAACACGAGCATTCTAACCTCTCTCTTAACCACAGACCAAGGAATTTGGATCGACCCGAATGGCGTTATAGGATGTCTGGATCACACCGCCGACATCATCCCCTACTCCAACTCGAGCACGCCAAAAATGATTCCCCCGAACCTACTAGCGCCGCCTGCAACGATAACTACAACGGTAACGTCCACGGTAGTGCAGAACAACACGCTCACCAACACCGATATGGTGACAAGCAATGCCACAGTCGTGAGTACTGCAACCGCAACCGCCACCGCCACCGTCACCGCTACCCTATTCAGCACCGCCGATCCCTCTTGCCCGTCAGGGTCCCAGGCCACAGTGACGAAGACGAAGAGGAGGAGGGCCAAGACAGTAACTAAGACAGTCACCACGCCCTCTGTGAGCACTTATATGGTCACTGTGATGGTTACGCCTGCGCCTACGGGCAACGTCGTTGCTACCATAAAGACGGAGACGACAGCGTGGGCATCTTTCACAACCGTCTATCCGAGGCCTTAAACAGAACAGGGTAGTCAGCCGTTGGGCATTGTGGTTTGGCTATTTCGTACATGTGAATGCAACTCGGAACGAAGGGGGAGAGTAGAGTTTGCATTGGGGGGGGGCTGGCGTTTTATTCGGTTTTCATTACTAGAGGAGGTATTTAATTATCTACCGCGTGCCTCAGACTTGAGTTAGTGGCTAGCTCTACTTTGACGATTATGATGGGTTAGATATGTATATGATCCTAATATCTATCATTAGTAATTTTTTTCTACTTATTTATCTACCTAGTTGGGTTATACTAAGTGATTTGTCCAAGTTCAAAGGGGTTTGTCATACTACTTTAAGACGACGAATCAATGTTGGCAATACGGTGAATGTAACAACCGAGTCACAACAAGGAGGAATTTAATCCCAGGGCTTAGCATCATAATTATTTCTACGTGTCCTTGACCTGAGTAACACATATTTTTTTTAGGCGCTCATACTTCTTGCGTTGTCGAGCATTCACTTTGCCTCTCCCTGACCTCCCCCCTTTCCACCTCTCCGTCCTCCTCGAGCTCCTCGACCTCCCCTTCCTGCACCTGCACCCCCTCTACTCTTCCCCATAGGTGCCTTCATAACAATATCCGGCGGCAAATCCACTACCTTCTCGCCATCGCGCCATAAGACACCCACACCCTGCTTGCGTCCCCTAACTTCCTTGATATACTTCAGCGGCACCAGACCATCCTCATTCCCGTCCGTTAGCACGACCCCATTCGCGCTAATCCACCACTTAATCCCGCTGTCCTCTCTCAAGCTCTTCTCTACGTCCGCAAACATAAGCAGCTCTGCATCGGACCTCATGCCGCTGACCACTCCACTATTGCCTCCCCCTTGACTAGTACCAGCATCGCCGTCCTCGGGCAACAACCCCGTCCCGAAGTGCACGTGCTGCCGGCCCATGCGCTTCAGCCCGCCGGACGCCACGATTGCGGGCCAGAAGGCGAAGTAAGTGCCGTGGACGACGATCGGCGGCACGTTAGCGTCTTCCAGAGTGACGGGCTTATGGATAGCCTCGGCCTCGAGCGCGATGCTGTGGCCCTGGTTAGCGCGGATCAGCCACGCGGCTGGGTCGGCCGGCGCGCTCTCCGGATCCGTAGATGGGTCCTTAGGCTTCATGGCGAAGCGCTGCTTGGCATTGTCCGCGACTGAGGAGCGGATCTCGTCGAAGGACGGGTTGAGCGAGCGGATGCGCGGCCATTGGATCTAAGTGTGTTAGCGGGTTGGATGGTTGGATTACTCGTGGTGTCTATCCCAGACCCCTTTTACTCCTAGGCTAGTACAATAATATAGGGGCACTCACTACTCACTATAAGCGCATAAGCAAAAGAAAAGCAAAACTCACCACTTTATCCAGCGGCGCGTACCCCTCACCATCGAGCTTAATACCCGCGTTCTCAGCCTGATGTCGGAGCAGCGATGACAGCGCCTTCGAAATCAACATCTCGCGGTCCTGGCCCTTCCCACCTCCTCTTCCGCCGCCGCCGCCGCGTCGATCCCGTCCTCCTCTGCCTTTACCTCTGAGCGCCATGCCCTCCATTCGCTCTGCGGCTTCGGCGAACTCGTCGTCTGCCATCTCTAACCAGTTCCCTCCCTCTTTGCCTTTGCTATAACAACTACTGCTAGTATAGAAGCTGTGCGCGGCCGGCGATGACGGTGTAAGCCGAGCCTGGAGAATGCGCGCAGCCGAGTAGCAGCGGAAGGGCAGCCGCCTGATTAAGTATAGGCTAGTTAGAGCCAGAGTGCAACGACGTTTATAAAGTGAATGATTATGACAGCAGGTGAGCGAGTGAGCGCTAGAAGGATGTATTCTTTATTTCACCATTTAAGTATAGGATTAGCGTTGTAGTGCCACACCTGTTAAGTAGTAAGTTGCGACACTGAGCTGCGCCGGTAGCTTCGAAGTCAATAAGAGATAGAGATCCACTCTCCGGCCTGAGTCAGTGGCATGAATTTTTAGCAAACGTCATACCAATACCACTAACGCTTATACTGTCTCGTCCAATACAATATTTACTCGTTTTCTCACAACAACTCATTAAATTTCTAAGACTCTAGAAAAGCAATTAAAAATTACCTAGCTAAGAAAACGTACGTCTTTCTCGATAGCATTCAAGAAGAAATAGTAGAGTTGAAAGTTTTAGTTAAAAGGGCGTTCCTTAGAATAGTGCCTTTATGACATGACGCATTTTGATACATAGTTTTAATAGGGAGGTTATGTATTTCACTTTTATTATCTCCAAGGATAATTAGCATCAAAGAGAGAAGCACACACACAACTCAAGAACGACTATTAGGAAGGAATAAACTTTTATATGCTCATCGCAAAAACTAAGTATTCATACATTATCCGCCCTTGTCTTCTGGCGACCTTATTTACATAGTACATCGGTATTCGGTTTACCGTCTCCCCAGCTCGCCTCCCGAGCACCTGTAATGGTATAAAGGCTCCTTTTCTTCCCGCAAGTCCGGCCCCGTCCGGCAACCTAGCCTCCCATACAAAGGACCCTTGGAGTAGCTGCTCCACATGTAGTATAGTTGGTTGCTTTCCCTATTCGCCGTGAGTCTGAGGCATCGAAGAGCCCTCTCCAAGGCCACCTCGCTAATCCGTGCCCATGTTATTCCACGACCCTTTTGGTGTCTTGTTTCCCTAGTAATGTTGATTGATATACACGGAATAACGCTTGCCGTCGCTCGTCTTCGGCAACGGCAGCTCAGAAAATTCGTAAACTTTTCGCAGAGACGGGGGTATTATACGAAACAAAAAATTCCCGAAAAAAATATAAAAACAAAACAAAAAACATCTAGCTATGCAGAATCCATGCTTGTGGGGAAATTCGCTGTAGCCCGGATGACAGTCTATTGTTACATTGTCATGAGCGTATCAAGTCGTTACGGCATTATCGGTAGCCCCCCGTCGCGGGAGAGCTCGTGGCAATCATACTTCCACGATTCGTTCGTTTGTCCATATTTCCGGATCGACTAATAGAAAATTGCCGTTGCGGTCGATCTTCAACCGATTTTTCTACGCTGTACGTTTCACGATCCGGCGTCGATCGTTCAAAATACCGGCGAGCCGTGCTAGCGAAGCCAGACGTCGATGCAGGGATCACTAATCTGCTGCTGAGTGCGGAAGCTAGCCGCCTTTTAGGTAGAGCTGAAGACGCCAAAGGCTCAGGCTCCTTTGGAGGCGCTGGTAATTGTGATGCATATTCGCGCGTTCCGGATCGATGCCCGTGAACTTCGGTGATAGCGCGGGATGGTGCGCGGAACTGGCTTTGCTCGTCATCGCGATTTATCGTCCCCCGACGGCCTCGGGTTAATGTAGGTTTGCGATCAGACAAGTCCTCAGGCTCTTCTGTAGTAGCACGTCGTGTTCTAAGTAGTGACGATTGCGATGACCTGCGCGCTTCGTCTGGTTCTTCTGATCCACCTCGGCGGTTGCGAGATATCAATAGCGAAGTCTTCCGGCCGGCACCGTTCACCGTAGCCTCGGTTGGGGTCGCAGGAGTTGTCAAATTATACCGTGGAGACAAAAAGGCAGACCCTAGCGTACTATTTCGTCTCTCTTCGATATTTCGCATCTCTTCGAAGCGGGGTATAGTTCTCGGGCTGGTATTAACCGAGAGGTTGCGATCCGCAATACTTTGCCGTCTTTGAGAGGATATCCCTTGAAACTTTGTGATGGTAGGGCTTGCTAGCAGAGGATTCTCTGGAGTCGGCGGAGCTACTTGCTGCTGTGGCTTCATCTGCGCCGCCCCCTCACTTAACGCAAGACATAATTCAGTGAGACTACGGCAGATACTATCTGCTTTTCGTCTTAGTTGGCGGTCGGTAATAGTTGTACCACTACCAATACTACTTGCGCCGCTCGCGATAGGTCCTGGCTGACCAGCGGTACCCATCATTATTGAAAGTGCCAATGCATCATTAGCTGCTGCCTCAAGCGCTTCGAAAACTTCCACACTAAGAAAGTCTTTGGACTTGGTTAACGCTGAATGTAGTAGCGGGTGGCCTTCCTTCTGGGCATTATTTGCCTCGGATGTTTGTGCGGCGCCCCCAGAACCGCGCTTAGGAGAGGCTGATAAGGTTGTTGCGTTAGTGTGAGCAGTTGGGGGTCGTTCCTCAGATGCTCGTGAGATAGCTGCACCCGAGGTTGGAGGCAGCTTGCCAGTTAACTCAAGGCGGTGGATGCGAGACTTGAGGTCATCGAGCTCGTCCCATACTGTAGAAGGAGCGGCAGTCGAAGTCGTTGAATTGGTCCCCTCAACACCATGATTTGCATCGTCTAATTGGGCGTCGTGTTTTTGGGATTCTGCTGGTTTTGGCACTAGTGGTGAAGAGTTGTAAGTGCGAGGGTGGCTGTAGTTGACATTGGGCTGTTTGAGCGACGACATGCGAGACGGAAGAGCAGTGCCACTATCAACAGACGCTTGTCTTTTTCGACTGTAAGTAGATCCTTGGTCAGAAGGGAAGTCTTGAAAAGCTAGAGATCGAGGCGTTAGTGGTGAACCACGAAGAGCGCTGCCGCCTCTAGGTTTTGTTTCCTCAGATTGTTTGTCTCTAGGTACTCCTTTGAATATTAGAGTACGCGCGATTTTCTCTCCCGATTGATCATCACCAAAACCTCGAGATCGAGAGGTCTCTTGATCGGACAAGCGTCGAGTCATTTGAGGAGGGGACGCTGGATGAGATGACGAAGATATGCCTACAGAAAGAGGTCGTCGGCTGCTTCGTGCGACTCGGGACTATACTTGACGTTAGTTTAGGGTTGAAACGGGTGATCGAAATCTAAGGCTACTATGATCAAGTGTAGAGGGTATTGAATCCGAAAGGTCGGGTGTATAGCCTACTAAAACCTTCGAGGGGCGCTATGGTCGCGAGGGCACGTTGACATATATGCAGGTTATATGCAGGTTCTGAAACAATTCGAGCAACAAAGAAACAGTTGACTTACCAGGGCACTTTGATTGTCTCCATAGTTCCGATTGGCCTCTGCGCCGCGGCGGGACGGGTCCTCGCGTGCGATCTTGAGAAATAGATCGCCACTGTCATCGCCATCTGGGCGATCTCCAGCCGAGTCAGGTGGTGTTATCTGCGATTCGTCATCAAAACGCCTTCCCTCTAGCGCACGCAAAGTCCTATCGCGGTGATTTGAATCGCCAGAGTCCTCGCTTCCCTCATACCCACGCATCGAACGAAGATTCATGTCGAGAATAAGACTCCGTCGTTCGCCAGAAGATCGGAATGATCGAATAGGTGGAATTGATGTTGTACCGCCCGAACTGGTGGAGTTTGCGGGTGGTTTATAGGATACCGGTGGTCGTCTCGCCACAGAGTTTCTCCTATCATCGATCGCAGTCTTCTGAATAGTTTTTGGCAAAATGAGTTCCCGTTGCCCGTGCGCGCTCTCCTTACTTATCTCTTCTGTTGGTGCGCTTCGACTTTCGTCAGATGCATGCATTCGATGCCCGGGTGAAGTTTCGTTTACTGAACTGCCTGAAAAAGGCGCGCGTCTGTGTCGCGATTGTACAATAACAACCGTATCCGCTGGATCCGTAGGCGACTTCGCGCTGGTAGTATTGCGCGTGCGCTTATGAGTAGCAGTAGTAGTTGAATCTAGAGAAGCAGAGCGCTTTGCATTGATGGATGATATCGATGTGGCGGTCGATTGGGCGGCGGCGGGGGATTGGAACGTGGATGCCCGAGACCTTGAGGGACTTAGATTTTCTGCAGGCAATTGTTCGGGTGAGACAGGTATAGTATTATTTCTATTGTTGTGTTGCTGATGCGCTGTCTGCGGGGATATTTCCTGTGCCGCGTTTGGCTGTGTTTCGGTGTGCTGATCCGGATCGGGCGAGACAGGCGAAGGCGGAATGTGGTGAGACTGTAGTAGCGAAGGTATAGTAATGTGTTCTCTTTTTAGATCGGCAAAGCGAAAAGCAGGTAGTTTCGAGGAGCTGTGGTTTTGTCGGTGTGCATGGAAATTGTTATGCTTAGACGGTGTAGGTGGCGCTTTAATTGGTGGTGTTGTTGTTGTGGTTGTGGTTGTAGTTGTGATTGTGATAGCAGAGTTGGTCGCGGTTGCGGTTGTGTTTGGAGATAAAAGGGAGGATGCAGATGGGTCCGTTGTTGCTATAACTGGAAGCGCATAAATTATTAGCGGTTGTCGTTCTTACAGAAGCTGCCGCGCTGCACAAAAAAAAAATTACTACCATTGCGATTGCCGCTAACAAAACGCGGAGAAGGATTAGAGGCAGCGACTGCCTCTCCGGAATCCATTTTCGTCCCAATTTCTCCTTATTAACACAACTTTTTTTTATTAATATATTTTTATAACCTTAGCAATTGATGCTGTTAGGTACTTGTTAAGCAGGGTCAGCGATGCGCTAGAACTTCAAACTTGCAAGGGCTTCGAACAATGGTGTTTTTTGCATAAATAAGAAAACGATAAGCTCCATGGATTATGTCGAGGGTCGCTGTCTACCTCGGAAACTCCCTATTGGCGTGATACGCGAATAGATCACGATAAAGAAGAAGAATAACTAAGAATTATAGAAATATATTGTAAATGAGCGACTGGTGGTAAAGATGACCGAGATTTGACTCTGGTGCTAAACTCTCAGGAGAAATTCATTAGTTGAATCGGGATCCTCGATCATATTGAGATTTGGCCAGGGCAGGGAGAGAGGCAGAAGGTAGCAGCCCGAGAGTGCAGTCTGTGCTGGGGTAGTGGGAAGGATAAGGATGGTATGGGTGTGGCCCATCGGAAGCTGACCCCATTAACTAATAACATAATTAATAACGTACTTTACCTACGTCCCTCTTGTTGGTCCTTTGATCACTTTTCCTCGATCGCTCTCCTCTCCTTTCCCGACTTGGGCTAGGGCGTCAAGTACTGTTAAGCTATAGACGTGTATAGAATC